CTTTACATACAGGATGTGAGTGAAATGGGCCTTAAGTTTGGAAAGTTAGCTCAAGGCAGTTAACCATACCCCAGCTAAGACTTTAACAAGGTTCTGTGCGATAAGGTGATGAGGTTGTGTCCGCCAGGCTCGCAGAGATACAAAGTCCATCCCATCTGATAAATTTCGTTGGTCCATCACTCAGAATTGGTGTGGGAGCCTCGGCATGCTAATTATAAAACAACGAGACAGTACACCACTAAACGGATCCTCATCATTATGTATAAGTATTAGCAGAAGACTAGATGTTTATTAGGTTAGGTTAGCTTATAGGTTTGGTTAGGTTTGATTAGCGTTAGATCTGCGTTAAGTTAGGTCAGGTTAGAGTACATTAACTTTTGTTGGGTGATATTAAATTAGATTAGGCTAGCGTTAGGGGGTTTAATCATCAGATGAATTACTCTACGCATGATACATAAATTTGTACTGCACTTTCTTACCTATGACCTCCAGCCATTGATGCAGAAATATGATGTAGGTGTTTTATACTTTACCTAGTGACGGTAAATATTCTTGAGTAATCCCTCCCACATTACATCCTAAACATAGTCTCTTTACACCATCTCATTGACGTGCTTCACCACACACACACACACACACACGAGCACAAACTGATCATTATAAAAACGGCCCAGTCCCAACCATTGTAAAAATTATCAATAACTTGTAATCAACCAGTGTATTCACTCCCAGTCAATCTTACTTTTTGCACTGTCACTATGTTGAAATGCCCTGTAGTTTGAGCTTCTCCCCACATAGTTATTATATATCATATTTGTCTCACTTATGTCACTTGTATATTATTTGTAAATCAAGAGACCCATTCCCCAATTATGTAACTGCATATTTTCAGCCTTCCGGATGCCATGCTCTTTCAATAAACCGTTGATTAATTATTATTATTATTTATTATTACACACACACACAACTTGGCTGAGGTTAGCAACATCACTTTCTGAGACATATTCTACTGGTGAAGAAATATTATTGTACCATACACCCGTCATGAGGCGCTCGCTCACTCCCAACAGACATATCGGTTAGCCTGTCCATTGTCCAATAGGTTTTATCTGAAGAATTATTTACATCTGGCTTGGCTCGACTATCCGTGTGTTGTTTCGGATCAAGGTTAGAATAGTCCCAGGCGAAAGTAAAAGGACCATGTCATTTAACCTTGAGAGTAACAGTCGTTTGTTAAGTAATGTGGGAACCAAAATCGGTCAGGCCTTAATTTTATACGTCATTCTGATACTCAGAGAGCGGTATGGGGAGACCAAGTCGCAGGCACGAACGTAACAACCAGGAGATGAGAGGAGGTAAAATCACTTTGTACAGTATATGAGAGGAGAACGGCCAGATTATTATGATAGCAGTGTCTGCAGAAACTCGATGAACAAGTGACCAACCGATATACAGTATTCAGGCCGCCCTAAAATTATCACATCCACAGACCCTCGGCCAATACACAGTGCACACATCACAGAGGAGTTTCACTACACCAACAGTCGTGTGGTGACACGGTCAGCAGGTTTATACGCTTGTAAATACTGGCCGATGTTACACATTTGTACTAAATTTGGTTATTTTAAAAAATAAACCTGTTTTGGTTAATTTTAGATTTGATGGTAAATATAAAAAAAATATCTCAGATTTGTTTTAATCATTATCTCAGGATATTCAGTGAGGCGTGTGAAGCACCAACTGCCTTTATTATACGGGAAAGTGCGCACCGCAGTGTTCGCTTTTTTTTTCAAAATGTTTTCACCAAGTCCCAGGAACAGTCTTTTGTCTTTCACTGTACGCAGGATAATTTTAGGTCACCTTCAGGGGCAGATTTACGTGAAGACTAATGAGGCTGAAGCTTCAAGTCCCAAGATTGAGGGGGAGGGAGCTACTATCAGTCTTGATGGGGTCACCTAAGTATTAACATAACTTCAGCCTTGATTGGGTCATGAAACTCAGCTCCTACCTTAATATCGGCATCGTTGGGGTCGCCGCTTTGTCTTGCCCGGGCCATCTCGTCCTCCAGAGCCTTGATCTTCGGATGGGTAAGGTCACTCTCCTCCTGGATCTTCTGCAGCTGGGTCACCAACTCCGTGTAGCAACCTGACAAACACCAAAAACTTTACTCAAAACATCCTTACCAGAGATGACTAAAATGCCCCAACTAGAACTAACATAAACCTCCAGATTTAGATAAGTATAGGTGTAGTAATGTCATGAGATTACCATGTAGGTAATGCCTATAAAGATTCCGGAACATCAGGACCAAAACATCAGTACAAGTATACAGTACACATGTGTAACCAATGAAA